TCTATTTTCTAATATGCAAATAAATAATTAAGAGAAAAGTTTTAAATTATCTAATTGATTCAATCCAATTCTAATTGAATGAAATGATATTCTAATACAATAAATAGAGATTATAATAATAAATTTATTTTTAAATTTTATAAGAACCAATTTAATTAACTTAAAAATAATAAATTAATTTTATGATCACAAAAATAAAATGAAATGCTAAAATACTTACTTATTTAATAAGCTATTTTATTAAGTTTTCTTATTTAAATTATTTATTTATTTTTAGTATAGTCGTTAAAAAGATTCATACATATCTTTGATTTCTATGACTTAAATTAATATTAAAAGAAAATTCAAAGTATCTTACATTATTTTAAGTCTAATTATGATGATTTATTTTAAAAGGAATTATGCTTTGGTTATATTAATATTACGATTAAAAAATATTGGTAATATATTCTAAGACTTTATTAAATTTAGAGACTATTAATTTCAAAATTACGAATAAAATTTATTTGTAACAATCTATTCTAAATAGTTTATTAATTCTATCACAATATTATGAAAATTGAATAGAAGGCTAAAAAATATTTACATAAGATATTATATTACATTATCTTTACATAATTTTCTAGAAAAAGGTATCTTAAGGTTAAAATAAAAAGGTTATATGAATCATAATTTAAAATTAATAGATTTACAAAATTATAAACAACATATCTTTAACGCATGTAAAGTTTATTTGAATGTTTAATCTTAGAAATAAGCCAAAAAAATCCAATAAAAAATTGGAATCTAAAAAAATCTATAAAATTTTTAAAATATATTATTCATATATGGTAATTGCTTTTTTAGAAGAAGTTTTCAGAGATTTTATTGAGCTTGCATTATTAATTAATTAAAAAATCAATTAAAAATCCATGTGAAATTTTGTAGAATAAAATGAAAATGAGAAATGGCAATATATTTAAATAAAATATTTATTTTATTTAATAATAATAATAGATTACCTTGCATTGATTAATAATTTAATTGGATTTAGATCTTTTTGATTATTTTAATCAATAGATCTTCTTATTATTTTTTTATATTGCTTATGTGGTATATCAAAATTAATTTAGAAACACTAGTAATTTTTTGAAATAATCATTAAGAAATTAAAACTAATCAAAATAGTAAAATCAAGCAAAAAAATTAGTTAATAAAATGAGTTAACCAAACCATAAAATCAAATACTAAAATTTTTAAAGCAAATTTTGCTGCTAAAGATTTTAATTCAAAACCTTTTATACTCATGAGATGATAAAAATAGTTTGCCCTTTAACTCTAAGCAAAATGATATAAATAATTTTATTAGTCATATGCTAGCTTACAGTCCTCTCTTTTCTCTTCAAAAATAAGCAATATTACTTAAGTTTTTCTCAAAACACGCATCTAAATCAAAATGAAAGACTATATCAAATTTCTAATTTCATACAATACCTTTAAGTAGAACCTTTACTCTATGACTACTTTAAGCTAAAGAGAAGTTTCCAAGTTTTTATGATAATTACCTCCTTTGTGCTCAATTGTTTGTATCTTAGCTCTATAATATCTATATTTATCTTTAGATAAATTGCAATAAAGAAATTTCTACTTAAATTTTGCTAAATATTCACTACAATTTATAACAAATATCCATTTTACTTATTTCTTAGCTTGTCTCTGAACATTATTATCCAAGATTAAAATATCTTTTAAACGTATTTGACAGTAATTTCATATTTGAATGCTATTTTAACCATACTAATAGGTAATATAAATACTTATTTTTATCTTGCCTTAAATTTAATTAAATGTTAATAAATACATTCCAAAACAAACAAAAACATGCATGAATATTTATTTTAAAGAATTTGGTTTACTAAATTAATTTATTTAGTTAATAGATTTTTTTTATTACTTAATTAAATACATAGAATTCATTTATTTATTGCTTAAAAAAAAGGTTATTTCGTGGAATTCCATGACTTTAGTTTTTCTTTTAAAGATTCTACTAATTATCTTGCTAAATAATATAGTTTTTAGGGATTGGTATTGATGATACTAAGAACAATTATGATTTGGATATATTATTATTATAACCACAAAATATTGGCTATATTTTCTTTGCTTTACTTTTTATTTGAAGCTTTTTATTCAGTAGCGAAATAGTAATATCTATCAAAAGATATTAATAACATATATATTTCTTTAACTATTACTAAATTATAAATCGCTATATGCAATATAATACAAATCTATATCTATAATAATTCTGATATTATTCTTATTTGCATAATCACTATTCCTTTATCTCTTAAGCTCATTAATTATTTTAGATAAAAACAAAATCAATACTTAGTGTAAATATTTTGGAATTCTAAATAGCTATTTTAATCGGATGTGTAGACCTTTCAAAAAATTATAAGACTTATAGATCAGAAAGCATAAAATAACTTTAAAACATTTAGGTTTGATGAAGATGAAATAATATTTGAAAATATTGCGAATTCGCATTAAATTTAATGTAATCATAACAATTAATATTGTTTTTGCCACAGATTCTAAAATTATGTAAATTACATTTTTGTAATTGATTTTTCAAATCCTGAATTCAAATCAATTAATTCATGTGAATCTATTTCATATTCAATCATAATATAAAATTTTTTCTATTTAACTTACGAAGTTTTTTTCCTTTTAAATTAATGTAAACGTTTCCAAAATTTTCATAAATTCTATTTATAATTTTATAATGTATTTTTTAACTAAATAGGATAATACTTCTTCAAAAAAAGCTGAAGCAATAAATGAAAATTATTCTTAGCAATAATTCATACAAAAAAAAATATTGTATACAATAGAAAAGTATATTTAAAATTACTAACAAAATGATGGAAATGAAGTTATCAATATATTAAAATTACTATAACTGAGCTATTAATTTGAAGTTATTAAAGATCCATTACAAGTTCTAATAAATATACAACAAATTTAAAGGTTTTACATCAAAACTAAAAAAATGAAATCCTCTTAAATATTTTACTTCTTTTAACTCAAAGAAAGAATAATGAAATATTATGAAGATACTTTTTTCAATTCAAATATTGAAAACTAAAAAATTAACATGATGGATGCTATTTATTTTGGTGATAAAATTAATGCTTGCAAAGAAAAGCTTAAATCTGTTTTATTACAGAGTGGCCAATTTTATGATTTACTTTGTGGGAATTACATCTCATTATAATCTATTGAAATTTTAGCTTTGCCCTTGCTAAAGTAAAAGGAAGATTTGGATTCCAACTTGGTAGAACTTTTCAAAATAAATCCTAATGACTTAGATCTTTAATATTTAGCATGCATTTATATCTAAATTTTAGATTTTTAAAACAGAAAAATACCTTAAATTCAAAAATAAGCAATTGGTAGTTTAAAATTAGTCTAAAAGTAAAATAGATTAAAAATTAATTAACTAATTTAAAATTATTTATCTGCTAAAAATTGTGTTATTTTTTCTTCTCTTTTGCAAAACACATATGCTATCAACTTAGTTTCTAACTCTTTTTCTAAGATTTTCGGAGTTACGGCTGATTTAGTTTTAGGAAAGTAATTAAATATATTGATCCCAAATGCAATTAAAAAAGACCACAATAAGATGATATAAAATTTTATTGATTAAGATTCAATGAATATTATTGAAAGAGGTATTTTTTGTTAGATTATTCTGAATTATTTTATCATTTAATTACTATATATAAAAAAGGTGAAAGATAAGTCTTTGCTAAAGACCGTGACGGATTCATTTTTCCAATATCGCTTAGGATCAAGATCGAAATGCTAAATGAAGATATTGGAGCTTGTATATTAATTTAAAAAATAAATTAATAAAAACAATATGTACTATTTGATGAGGATGGGTATGTCACTGATTACTCTAAAAAATTATACAATGATTTATTTCAACCTACAATAAAGCAAGTTGGTAATTTAAAAGCAAAATTTTTTATTTTATTTTGAAATACTGTAAATTCTTTCTTTAAGTGCCTTAATACTCAAAACCTTGTCTCTAAATATTAAATTTTTAAAACCATTGAGTATTTTTTGTGCTTATCCTTTTATTTTAATTATTTGATTTTCCATATTATATATATGAAAAATTTAATGTTGAGTTTATTTTATTAATGAATTATAATTATAATTAGATGATGATCAAAATATTTTTAACATGATTCCTAGTCTTCAAGATATAATATAGAAAAAACAAATGTATACTCAATTTTGCAGTGTTTTGATTGCATAAAAATAGTAAGATAAAAAAGTGAAATCACAAAATATATAAGAGCATCTAATTTAAACCCCTTACAATAATTAGACATTTTATTCGTTGAATGACGATGTATTTATAATCAAATTTAAATTTTGTTAAAATCAAACTAAAATTAATGTCAAAATGAACTTCATCGAAATCGATAACTATGAAAAAGAAACAAATCAAAGTAAAAAGAAAAAAATAATTGAAGAGTTAAATAGGTAATTAATGTACAAAGAAATACAAAATAATTTAAATAAAAATGTATTTAACAGTATTGATAATTTCAATTAGGTTCAATAATATTCAACTGATAGGTAAACTTATTAAAATTTTGAGAGCAATGGCCTTGTCTAAAAAAATTAATAATAAAATTAAAAACAATCAATAGTAAATAAACTTAGAAGTTTTAAATTTAATAATTAAGATATAACAGAAAGTGAATAAAATGTAACAACAAATCTTGAATATAAGGAAGAAATATTAACAAAGTATTTTTCTGAGTAAACTGATACAAATAGATTTAATTAAAGACATGAAGTTTACGAATGTTAAGGAGATAGTATAGAATAGATCAATTAAAATAGTGATACCTAAGATATTACATTAAATAGGTATAAAAATATAAACGAGAGTAAATAAATAGGGCTTCATAAAATGCTTTAAATGTTAAATAATGATAACACAATTAATTTTTATACTATTGATAATAACTAATCAAACTTTAATTTATCTTAATAAAAATATTCTACAATTATAAATGATTAAAATGAATCTAACCCAATCATCTCAGGAAATTCAAAGTACTTTTTTGAACAAGGAAACAATAATTTTGATATTTCTTTAAATTAATTGCAGCAGAATAATAACATATCAGAATAAATATGTTAGCAATTTAAATTTAATAAAAATTTTAATGAACATAATGCTTTTGATTTAGAATCTTACTAGAAAACAAACTAATGTACAAATAAATCCATGAGCATAGAAGAAAGTTCGTCAAATAAAAAGAGCAAAAAAAGTAGAGAAGTTATGGAAAATGAAGAATAAAAAAAAGAGTAATAGAATGAAATAGCTAGCGTGAATTCAAGTAAATATACTTCAGTAGATCGCATTAAAGGAAAAATGATAAAAAAAATCTAAGAAAAGATATTTGCCAAAAGTTTATAGATAATGGTAATAGCTGGTTTTACTGCTTCAATTGCTTTAATTGCAGTTACTATCATAGTTTACTTATAGAATTTAAATAGCCTAGATAATTTTGTTGATTCTTTTTTAAAAATTGATGGTGCTATTTTTTGTTTCATCGATGTTATGAAAGTATTAGCTTGGTCAAACTATTAAGTTTTGTTTGGTTTTTAAGATTTTATTTTAGATAGCTTAGATTTGCTGAATTAAGAAAATATTCAAGTTAGTTATTAATTAAATTCCATAATTTCAGATTATAATAATAACTTTTAACAACTTGTATTAAATAATAATAGTTAGAAATAGCTTAATTAGCTATAAAACATTCCTTTTTTAATATAGATATATCCTCCTTATTTTTATTACCCTTCTTTGGTATAATCAACTAAGATTATATCTTATTATCAGAACTTACAATACACCATAATGCAATTTTTTTATGAAATCATATTTTATATTATTAATTACTAAGAATAATAAGAAAGTTTTATTTGGGCAAATATTGTTCAATTCAAAAACAGTATGATAGATCTTTAATTAATTGTCGAGAATTATGCCTAAACATAATTTAACAATATGAACTAGTAATAAATTTCGGTTATCACAATAGTTGGTCTTCTTAGTTTTTTCATGATATTCTCAATAATACCTTTGAATACTTATATTTAGATGAAAAGAGAAAAAATGATGAAACTGTTTGGCACATTTTAACCACAAATCCTTGATTTTCAGATTTAGTTGATAGAACTTGCAATTTATAAAATAGACAAAACTAAGATGATAACTTAAACTAATAAAAAAGCTCAATCAAGTGTTAAGTCTTCTAAAAAGCAAAAAAGTATTTATATTAAAGACCTAATGGAATAAACACTATAGTTAAAATTATAAAACAAAGAAGATGCTTAAAACAAAAATAATAATTTTAAATAAACAGATTTAATCCCTAAGTATATTCAAAGATAGTAGTAATCTAGAAATAGATCAATAGCTTCGTTTAATAGCTTACCTAAATTTAATATGATAATTATTATATTAGGAATAATATCAGTAGCACTACTATGCATCTAGCCTGCATTGAATATTTTGCAATTCAAGCCTTTTTAAACCGAATCAAATGCTCTTTTACAAGACAGAATAGTATTAATTGACATCTTCACGTTGCTTATGGAGAATTAAGCTTCTCATATGGAGTAAATTTTAGCTTTAGCACAATCTTAAGTACTTTCTACCACATATTATTACACATATCTGAAGAATCTTACGAATTAGAATGAGTAAACTATTTCATAATTACCAAATTTAACAACAAATTTAGAAATTTAAAGACATAATTAAAATTTGTTTGAAAATTTTTATAAAAATATACTAAATTAAGACGTGTGTTAAATAAGATAAAACTTTACATAATATTTTAACTCAAATGTGACTTAAGTAACATGTGAGAGTTTATATAATGGAGTATTAAAAAGAGGATTAATTTTATCAATAAAAAGAGTATTTCAAACGTATGACGAACTGATGGAAATGTATGTTATGAATGACTTTGGTCAATAAAATGACTTTTTTACTTAATTCCAAATTTAGAATTCTTTTATAAATTTTAAGCTGTTAGTGTAAATTATATCTGAATCTGTAGACGCTATAAGATTATATTAAAATCAGTCTTTGTAAGATTATAAAAGTGATTTACAACAAACCTTACTTTAGTTGTTTGTTGCTTAATTACTTATAGTCCTAGTAGTATTTTTGATTGGTTGGCTAACACTCTTTTACAGTTTTGTGGATTAATTACAAAAAACTTAAAGCATCTTTAAAGTTTTTCATATTAATGTACTGTATGAGAATGAATATATTCAATAATATTTCAGATAGTTGTAATTAAATTAAAAAAGTTGAATAAATTAATTTTATAGACAAAGACTTAAATCTTATGATAAAAACAAAATGGCTTTATTGAAATTTCAAAAAATTAACTTAATAAAAACCATTTTGAAATGAATGAAATTTAAAAAAAAATATAAATAATCAATCAGAAAAATGAACAAAATAAAATATATTAAAGTAAATTAAAATATTTGTTAATGATGGGGCTTTTCTTCATTTATTTAAATTTTATTATAAAATCTAAAAGAGTTTTATAAATGAAAATATTTTCATTATTTGTTTAATTTTATTTCGAAAAAAAATTAAATAATTGCTGTATTATTTGTATTAATTTTGTATTGCAAAGCATGAATAAAAAATAATAAACACATTTTCTTATAAATTTTTTATCTTTAAGATTTTGTAAAATATTAATCATAATAATAAATAAATATTTAAATATTTTTAAATAGCAATTTGCTATTTTAAAAAAATGATTGATCGCTGATAATTAATGAGTGATCAAGCAAATAATTGTATTATTTTGAAAAATAAAATTTCTTTTTAATTTAAAATAGAATTATAAATAATAAATAACAAAAATTAATGATAATTTATTTAGATTTTAAATAAATAGTGCGTGTAGTTCGTCTCCAAAATTATGGTAGCATCACTTTCAGAAAAGAACTTTTGGAGCTATATTAAAATTTTTTCAAATATGACTAAATGAATAACTGGCCATCTCTAATTAATTCCTACTATATATATTTGTAAGTATATGTTTTAAATACAAATATTAAGTTAAAATAATTAATGTTAAATTAATTTTTCTGTAATATCTCTTCAATTTATATTTGATAATTAATTATTATATTGATTTGTTCTTTTATCCATTTATAATAAATTAATTAAATTTCATAAATTTTAATTCAACATTTTTGAGAAGAAAAAAAAATGATATAATAGATTAAAGAATATTACTAATTAGAAGAGGTAAATATAAATTTTTTTATTAATAACCTTTAAATTTATATAATTTAACAAAAAAGTTTATAAGCTCTTAACTTTTATCTCATTAGGTACTCCATATTGATTTTAAGTATATTTTATTAATTAACATTATTTTTATTATTATTAATATTTTTTATAAATTTAACTTTCAATTTATTTAAATAAAAGATTAGAAATTATCACAATTGTTCATTGATATTTATTAAAACAAAATTTTTTAGCTATTTTAACTTAATTTTCATTTCAATTTTAAATTATTTATTATTCATTTTTTATTATTTGATATTTTTTCTTCATTTTTTACAATCAAAACTTAATCAATTTATTAGTTTTGGATTGTAATGTTTAAAATGATAAAAGTTAATTTATTTAAAATATTAAAGCTCTTTTAATTTATTTGATTTATTTTCCTTTTTATTATTATTATGATTTCTCTTTTTTTTCATTCTTTGTTTATTTTATTGATTATTAATTAATCTTGTTATTTAATATTTTTTCTTCCATTTTTCCTTCTAATTAACTAGAGTGAAATGCCTATTTAGTTTAGAAATGTAATATATCTTAATAATTTAATACATAAAACTAAATTAGCATAAATCAGCTTTATTTTTGAGTTTTTAGAAAAGCTTTAATTCTCAAAATGCAAAATTTGAAATAATATTCACCATATATTCTAATAACATATCATTTTTTTGAAAAAAGTAAATTTTGAAAAATTTTACGAACTCAATAAAAACTGCTATATAAAACTCGCTTTTTGAAAATTTGTATGGCAACTTACTCTATTTTATGATATATTTTTTCTTCAATATTTCAAAAGTTACTATTATATTGGTGATCATGGTGCATCACGATTAGGTTTTGCTTTAGCAAATTGCATTAATCTCTCAAATTTAACACTTAATCTTAGGTAAAAACAGTTTATTTGTTTTGGATTGTGAAATTTTTAATTATAAAAACAAATTAAAAACAATAAAGCTCTTTTTTCTTTTTCTTTTTTTTTATTATTGTGCTTGCTTTTTTTTTGTTCTTTCTTTGTTTGATAATTTAGCTTATCATTTTATTTTAAACTTTTGCTTTTATTATTAATTAATCTTATTATTTCATATTTTTTCTTCATTTTTCCCTTCTAATTAACTATTTAATGATATTTTTTTTCTTCAATATTTAAAAAGTTACAATTAAATTGGTGCAATGGGTGCATCAGGCTTAGGTTCTGCTTTAGAAAAATGCATTAATCTCTCAAATTTGACACTTAATCTTAGGTAAAAATTGTTTATTTGTCTTGGATTGTGATATTTTTAATTAATAAAACTAATTAAAAACAATAAAGCTCTATTTTCTTTTTCTTTTTATTGTGCTTGCTTTTTTTTGTTCTTCCTTTGTTAATTTAGATCATCATTTTATTTTCAACTTTTTCTTTTATTATTAATTAATTAATCTTATTATTTCATATTTTTTCTTCATTTTTTCCTTCTAATTAACTATTTCATGATATTTTTTTTCTTCAATATTTAAAAAGTTAAAATTAAATTGGTGAAATAGGTGCATCACGATTAGGTTCTGCTTTAGCAAATTGCATTAATTCCTCAAATTTGACACTTAATCTTAGGTAAAAACAGTTTATTTGTTTTGGATTATGATATTTTTAATTAATAAAACTAATTAAAAAAAATAAAGCTCTTTTTTTTTTACTTTTTATTGAGATTGTGCTTGCATTTTTTTGTTCTTCCTTTGTTAATTTAGCTCATCATTCTATTTTCAACTATTTCTTTTATTATGAATTAATTAATCTTATTATTTCATATTATTTCTTCATTTTTTCCTTCTAATTAACTATTTAATGATATTTTTTTTCTTCAATATTTAAAAAGTGACAATTAAATTGATGCAATAGGTGCATCAAAATTAGGTTATGGTTTAGCAAATTGCATTAATCTCTCAAATTTGACACTTGAAATTTTGTAAAAACAGTTTATTTGTTTTTAATTGTGATATTTTTAATTATAAAAACAAATTAAAAACAATAAAGCTCTTTTTTCTTTTTCTTTTTATTGTGCTTGCTTTCTTTTGTTCTTCCTTTGTTAATTTAGATCATCATTTTATTTTCAACTTTTTCTTCTATTATTAATTAATCTTATTATTTCATATTTTTTCTTCATTTTTTCCTTCTAATTAACTATTTAATGATATATTTTTTTTTCAATATTTAAATAGTAGGAATAAAATTGGTGATGAAGGTGCATCTGGCTTAGGTTCTGCTTTAGCAAAGTGCATTAATCTCACAAATTTGGCACTTTACCTTGGGTAAAAATAGCTTATTCGTTTTGGATTGTGATATTTTTAATTATAAAAACAAATTAAAAACAATAAAGCTCTTTTTTCTTTTTCTTTTTATTGTGCTTGCTTTTTTTTGTTCTTTCTTTGTTTGTTTGTTTGTTAATTTAGCTCATCATTTTATTTTCAATTTTACTTTTATTATTAATTAATTAATCTTATCAATAATTAAAAAGTGACAATTAAATTGGTGCAATAGGTGCATCACAATTAGGTTCTGGTTTAGGAAATTGCATTAATCTTTCAAATTTGACACTTTACTTATTGTAAAAACAGTTTATTTGTTTTTGATTGTGATATTTTTAATTATAAAAATAAATTAAAAACAATAAAGCTCTTTTTTCTTTTTCTTTTATTGCGCTTGCTTTTTTTTGTTCTTTCTTTGTTTGTTAATTTAGCTCATCATTTAATTTTCAACTTTTTCTTTTATTATTAATTAATTAATCTTACTATTTCATATTTTTTCTTCTTTTTTCCTTCTAATTAACTATTTAATATATAGCTTTCTTTTAAACTTTTTATTAGCTATTATTATTTTTTACTCCTTACTTAGAAATTACATTCGATATTATAAAATTGATTTAAAAATCTATTCTAAAAAATTTTAGTTTAGACCACGCTTTTCCTCTTATATTTTAATGATATATTTTTTTTTCAATATTTAAATAGTATGAATAAAATTGGTGATGAAGGTGCATCTGGCTTAGGTTCTGGTTTAGCAAATTGCATTAATCTCTCAAATTTGGTACTTTACTTTGGGTAAAAATAGCTTATTCGTTTTGGATTGTGATATTTTTAATTATAAAAACAAATTAAAAACTATAAAGCTCTTTTTTCTTTTTCTTTTTATGGTGCTTGCTTTTTTTTGTTCTTTCTTTGTTGTTAATTTAGCTCATCATTTTATTTTCAATTTTTGCTTTTATTATTAATTAATTAATCTTATTGTTTCATATTTTTTCTTCATTTTTTCCTTCTAATTAACTATTTAATGATATTTTTTTTCTTCAATATTTAAAAAGTGACAATTAAATTGGTGCAATAGGTGCATCAGGCTTAGGTTCTGGTTTTCAAAATTGCATTAATCTCTCAAATTTGACACTTCAACTTGGGTAAAAACAGTTTATTTGTTTTAGATTATGATATTTTTAATTATAAAATCTAATTAAAAATAATAAAGCTCTTTGAATTTATTTGATAGCTTTTACTTGATTTATTTTTTATCTTTTTTATTGTTTATTAATTTAAGAAATATTTTTTAATTTAAAAGTTTCTTCTATTTTGATATTTATTTAAAATTTACATAAATTTATTTTTATAGTTTTAGCTTAATGAATGAATCATACGAATTCAAAATAATAAGCAGGTGTCTTAAATCAAAAAGATTAGTTGTCTTTAAAAAATTATTTTGGTATTATTGATTTTATATTTAAAAATAACATTCATATTTATTTTTGTTAAATAAATTATTAAAAAAAAATAAAATTTACTTAAATAAATTAATTCCTCTTAAACAAACTCTAAGGTTTCTCCAAAAACGATCAAATAATTTGAAAGTTTTAGTGTTATATTATATCTTAATAAATTATACAAATGCCAATATTTTATATGTCATTTATATTTTAATAGAAATATTATCCATAAATCATATTTCTATCCTTTTTTTATTTATCATTATTAATTAGATACCATGATTTAAATAAAAGCTTGGGGGGAGAAATCAAATTTTACTTTTTATTTTAACTTTTGTTGTTAAAATTTTTATAATTCAAAAATAAAATTTTAAAAAATATAAAAATAAATTTAATTAATTACAAAAATACTTTTAAATACATCAAAAATTTATTTTATTCTAATGAATTAGCATTCTTGTTATCATTTATTTCAAATCTATATTACTAATATGTTTAAGTACACATTTTAAATATTAAGATTTAATAATGAATGTAAAACAGGATATGAAGATTTGAAAAATTCAAACAAATTCTTCAATAACATGATTCCATCAAGCACTTAAAGTTAAATTCAGCGACACTAATTTTTTTGTAGTTTCTCTTACTAAAAGAAAATTTATAAATTAAGACAATTCATTTGTTATTTTTATCAACTTATAATTAATTAAATTTCCATAAATTGCTATTCAATATTTTTGAAAAAAATAAATAAATGATACAATAGATTAAATATTACAACAAATTAGAAGAAGTAATTATTTTTTTTTTATAAATGTACTTTAAATTTATTTTTGCTAATATTAAAAGTTTTTAAACTCTTCACTTTAATCTCATTAAGTTCTCCATATTAATCTAAGGTATATTTAATTTATAAATATTTTTATTATTATTATTAATTTTTTTAATATATTTAAACTTATTTAAAATATTATTTTTCTAATAGAAATTATCACCTTTATTCATATTTTATATTTATAAAAATGTTTTATAAGTAATTTTAACTTAATTTTCGTTTTGAATTTTTAAATCCATTATTCATTTTTTATTATTTGATATTTATTTTTTATTAATTTTACTTCTAACTCATTTATATGATAAAAACTGTAATAAGGCTCTTTTAATTTATGTATTAGCTTTTTTTTTAGATTGAATTATCTTTAATATCTATTAATACATTTATTATTATTTAAAATTTTTTCTTCAATATTTAAAAAGTAACAATTAAATTGGTACAATTGGTGTATAAGGTTTGGTTACTGCTTTAGCAAATTGCACTAACATCACAAAATTGACACTTAATTTTGTGTAAATTCAGTTTATTTGATTTGGAATATGATATTTATATTTATAAAAATGAATTTAAAACAATTAAACTCTTTTAATTTGTTTATTAGCTTTTCATTAGAATTTTTTATATTTTTGTTTTTTTATTAGATTTGTATTTTTTTCTTCTCTAATTCTTAATTTTATTCATTTTTTATTTTCAGCATTTGCTTTTATTATTTATTAATTCATATTCTAAATATCTTATTAATTATATAATTTTTCTTCAATATTTAAAAAGTAACAATTAAATTGGTGATTAAGATGTTTCAGTCTTAGGTTATGCTTTAGCAAATTGCACTAATCTCTCAAATTTGACACTTAATCTTGGGTAAAAACAGTTTATTTATTTTTGATTATGATATTTCTATTTAAAAAAATGTATTTAAAACAAAAATTTTTTTAATTTGTTGTGAGCTTTTTATTAAATTTATTTACCTTTTTCTTCTTTATTTTACTTGTGTTTTTTTTTTTCTTCTTTTATCTTTCTTAATTTCACTCATAATTTTATTTTCAATATTTGCTTTTATTATTTATTAATTCATTTCATATTATTTTATTTTTTTCTTCACTTTTTCCTTCTAAATAAATTTAAAATTTTATATTTTTTCTTTAATAATTAAAAAGTAACTAT